CTCTCTATCAGGACTTGGGGTGGCTCTAGAGGCTCAGAGGCTCGACTGGGTTGAGAAGTTTATCACTTATAAGGAGTCTATGGTCGCTGAGATGCTTCTATACTGCAAAAGTAATACATTTGAGTGGGGACTTGTGGGAGTCTTAATCTCAGCGAATGCCCTGGAAGTAGTGGATGACCGTCAGTTCCGTAGCAAGGTGTTGGAGCTTCTCATTAAAATCTACAAGACCGGTAATACGACTGATTCACCACCTAGTTGGTTGGGTATGCTGCATTCACTTTCAGTGCCAGCGGGTCGTGACCGTGACTGGGCTGGTTTGGCGCAATGTTACTTCCTCCTGAACAAACCTGAGGAGGTTGGGACCATGCTGAGGGAGCTTCTGGACGATCACGATAAGTAGGGTATGATGGGCCTCGACATGTCTGGCATGGTTTCGTTTAGATTTGGTCGCCTTATGGCCATGCAAATCGCCTTCGATCTGGCCGACAGCGAAGCGCAGCAGTTCTGTCAGACGGTCTCGGCATGTGATGACCTCAAGTTGTCGGATGGTGGTGACACTGGGGTGACAGAGGGAGGTGACACGAGGGGGGCTCGAGGGGGGCTCGAGGGTTGAGGTGATTGGTGATTGTGATAGATGTGAAGATGGAGAAGGCTGAGGCCCCTGCTGGTGATAAGAAGAAGGAGTGCATTGCGAACATAAAGAAGATTCTCGCTGGTGCGTTGGGGGGATGGGAACGTGATGTGGTGAAGTTATGGTATTGCTCGATTGGTAGGCGATGCCCAGACTGATTTGAACCTCGAGTTTCTCTATCGTAACTCTGCGACGGACTTGCTGCTACTGGACGCGATCAAGGCGAACCAGCCTGATGAGAGGAACTCGGTAATGATTGGTATTATGGTGGCGAGGGAATGAGGTTGGGCTTTTTTACGTTAGGATGTCGGTTCGATTCTTTGTTGAGTATTTTTCCATCAGATTACCCACAACGGCATCGTCCTCTGCCATGCCCTCATGCAATGCGGTACCACCAGCGACACTTTCCTCCGTGCCAACCTCGAGTGGCTTGGCAAGGCAGTCTACTGGGCTAAGT